AGTTTATAATACTAGAAAATAAAATTATTACTAATCAACAAACTAGATCAATTAATACTCAACTACAACTACCAAATACTAATACTCTATCTTTTAATACTGGTCATTACAAGACTAAACCTAAACCTTGGCTAATCTTATATAACAACAACAACATAATCTTAGAGAAAGCTAGAAGATTTAACCACCATGATGACTTCCTAACATCGAATGAAAAATATTATACCTCTTGCAACACAAATTGATTGGAATGCTACCTGGCTTTGCTTAAATAATAATTACAAAAAATCATCCTTCTATACCAACTTCAAACTCTGCCAAGAAAAAACTTTTAAAATCAAATTCATGTTTAACATACTACCTATACTATCAAACTTATATACTTTATATCCCCAACACTTTCCTGACATTAACTATATCTTATGTAATTTTCACGAAGGTCAAATGCATTGGCCTATATACCCAAGTATGCCTGATTTAAATACAATTATTACTAACACAATACAACAATTTTTGCAAGTCTCTAGGCTTGATATAACAAACATACAACATTAAGAGCTACAGAATAAACTTATTTACTATCCAAGTTTATTACTTAACTACTATATCAGAACTAACACAAATATATTTATAACTTTACAAGGATTCATACCTACTACACTTATACAAACTACTAGAGAGTATACAGATTTCAACAAAACAGCAACAAATACCTCTCTCCTCCCCTCTTAATATAAAAAAAATCAGGTTTTTATATATAATTTTAATTTTTTTTACCTCTTTCCCCTAAAAAATCACCTGATTTTTGTCATGTTCCTAATATAAAAGATAAATATCAGGAGTATATAAAATAAAAATTGGTTAAATAATAAGTATCTTTTATTATCCTAATATTGATATTTTATATAAAAATTATATATCTATTTTGTTACCAATATTAGTAACTATAGTAATATAAAAAGTAAATAATAGTATATACAAAGACAAATATCAGTTAACTAAAGAGTTTCTTTTAATATCCTGATATTTATCTATTTTGCTACAGGTTATAGCAAAATAAAGTAAAAAATAGTATATATAAAGACAAATAGCAATAAACTAAAGAGATTCTTTTAATATTCTGATATTTACTCTTTTGTAAATCTGTTTTTTACTAGATGATATTAAAGACAAATATTAGTATAATTAAAATAAATAGTAATATTTGTAATATTATATGGATATTTTATTTTTATTTATTCTTAATATATAATTAAAAGTGATATTTTAAATTTTTTATTATTTAATATATTTATTTTTTTATATATATTATAATAGAATATTGTTAAATATTACAAGTTGCTATATCACAGATTAATATGATCAACCAATTAAATCACAGGATTTTATATAACAAAAATGAACAAAAAATTAAGAAAAAACTCAAAGTTTTAAATATCTTGATATTTTATTATGTAAACTAGTCTTAGGCTTCTAATTAAAAGTTTTTACCATTTAATTTTGCATATATATAGGCTACCATCAATAGAAATCAAGCAGATCTACATTTGAAAAAAAATTAATAGCTTAAATTTCACAGCTCATATCTTGATGAATTTTAAAGATATCTTGATAATTTAATAGTTAAAAGAAAGCTTAGATCGTAAGCTTTTTTTTAAATATTAAATCATCAAAATACCTTAAAATTCATCGAGATATAAGCTGTGAAATTTAAGATAGTAATTTTTTTTCAAATGTAGATCTGCTTGATTTCTATTAACAGAAGCCTATATATGCTTTAAATATATAATTTGCGATATTACAATCTGCTAAATTTAACAAAAATCTTATAATATAGATGAAATTTTATTAGTATTTTTTTTTATAAACTAAATTTTATTATTATTTTTTTATAAATTTTTATTAATATTTTTCTTAAATTTTATTATATATTTTATATTATTATTGTATATTTTATTATTTTATTAGTTTATTTATATAGTTTATAGTCTATTTTATTTATTTTAGATATTTTTACAATAGTTTATTATATATTTTATTAGTATATTTTTTATAAAATTCTATTTAAAGCAATATTTGCTTTATTATTTAATTATTAGTTTATTTAATATAACAAAGTCTGGACCAAGGCTATACAAGATTACACAAGTACAAATAGTGCTTCAGAACATTCAGAATATTCTAGATTGATATATTAATAATTATTTAGCTTGATTTATTTATTTATTTTTTTTTTGGCATGTCCTGCTACTCTTTTATTTAAGATGTAAATCAAGCAAAAATTACAAGAATTCTTAATTAAAGTTACTATCTTTAACTACAATAAGTGATTCACTTGACTTAAAAGCCCAGATGCGAATCATTTAGTAGCTGTTTGCCTTCTTCTGGGATTTTAACTTCCTAGGGTACCACATACTGTATCAGTATCATCTTTTCTTTCAGAAAAAGAAGAACAAAAAGAACATCAAAGGGCAAAAAGAAAAAAAAAAGGGTGATATCTTGGCAATCAAATTTAATCCACCTACACAAATAAATCTAAAAAACATATGAAAGAAAAAAAACAAAAACAAAAGAAAACAAAACAAAGATAGCACTATTAAACCCGTGCCAGATTGTAAAAATTATATAGTACTACTAAATAATCTAGATTAAACTCTACACTAGTTATTTATATCTATATTAGAATATAAGAATATCCACTTTTGAGTAGAGATCCAAGTTTGAAATTTCTCTTGCATTCTACCAATCTGTTAGTGCAGTATCTTGCAGCATAATCTCGTGCGATATGTATGTTTCCTGAGCAAAGTATATTTGACACACAGGTCTCATAAATCTGTAACCTCTTGAGAGAACCGATCAAGCGTTGATCCAAAAGTGGCCATATACTCCTGTATGTGATTTTTCTTTTTCGGCAATGATTGTTGTTGTCCATCTTTTGATGGGGATAAGCTAGATTTCCTACTTTTGTTGAAATTTCGTAAAAAACAGCGAGCAGGGTTTTGATAGAGGGTTTCGGTTTGCAGGTATCCTTAAACTATGATAGAAAGTGTGTCGAAAACTTGCTTGTTGTTTACTTTTAGACTAACTAACTTTCACTTCATCAGCAAAAGCTATTAAATTTTTTTACACAAGAGCACCACCTCTGCCAGTTATCTTGTGCAAGAACACTTTTAACTTGCTTGCTGAATATACAAAAGAGTCTGGATGAAGACACAAATAAGCCTTGACCTCTATAAAAACCATTACTTGTAGTTGTCTCTTCTACTTTCTTCAACAAGTTTTCTATTTTCGTTAGTCGTAAGTTTGGTATGAGTGATTGTTGGGGAGAGTTGTTGATTTAGTTTTATTTATATAATGTTATATATAATAATTATCATAGTAATATCATATTGGCTAATTCGTGTAATACCCAAAATTGATTCAATAGTAGATCATATATAATTTAGGACAAAACATAATACAAAGACCGATAGACTAATACAAAGACTGTCAAAATTAACAAGTACATAGTCTATATTTGAAAGAACTTATATAAAAAATAATCAGAAGATTGGCGAAATAATCAGCTTACTTACCTATAGTAAACCTCTAAGTAGCAGTCTTTAAAGCATGTTTATTCTGAAGTGTAGAAGTTCAACTAAACAACCCAAACTATCAGCAATTTCAGTATTTCAGTATTTATATACTTTAACGGTACCAGAGTTAGAACTACTTAGTTTGACATGTTATATGTGATTGTTGAGGCTGTTTTTAGAAATAGATTAGTTTTAAATAATAAATAGCTTAATAGTTAACAGGTTAAATAAACCGTTATGTTATTTATACTCATTATATTGTAAATTTAATAAATTAATAAATTTTAATACTATTATACGCTTAATAAATTGCTTAATAAATTTTATTTATTTAATTATTTAATTACAATTTTTTTATAATATAAAAAAAAAAACTATTCTTCGATTTGCAATTTAATCTATCCTAATACAAGATTCAAAATAATTAATGTGGTATTTTTACAAATGCATTAGCTAATGCTTTTTATTCTTCTGATCCATATTTATTATTTCAACTAAGATCTAGTAAGTTAATGTAGTGCATTAGCTAATGCTTTACATTTCAACTAAGTCAACATAGTGTTCTTGCAAGTGTATCGGCCAATACTTTTCGTTCTTCTGATCCGAGTTTATTGTTCCAATCAAGATTCAGAGTAATCAACGTGCTGTCTTTGCAAAGTGCATTGGTTAATGCTTTTCATTCTTCTGATCCAAGTTTGTTATCGTAACCAGGATCCAGAGAAGTCAACATGGTGTTCTTCAAAGTGTATCAGCTAATGCTTTTCATCTTTCTGATTCAAATTGTTTTTCTGATCCAAGTTTATTTTCCAACCAAGTCAACACGGTATTCCTGCAAACTGCCTTGGTGATTCCAGAGAAGTCAGCATAATGTTTTTGCAAAATATATCAGCTAATGCTTTTCAACTTACCACGATCCAGAGAAGTCAATATGGTGCTTTTGAAACTGTACTAATACTTTCTGTTTTTCTGTTTTTCTGTTTCAAGTTTATTATTCTAGAGATGTTCTTGCAAAGAATATTAGCTAGTACTTTTTGACCTTCTGATCCAAATTTATTGTTTTGCAAAGTGCATTAGCTAATGCTTTCATTCTTCTGATCTATTATTCTAAGATTCAGAGAAATTAATATGGCGTTTTTGCAAAGTGCATTGACCAATACTTCTCCGCTTTCAATCATGTAAAATAGGCTTTGTAAATTTATTGGTTAGTGGTTTTAAATCTTAGTGCAGAGGTTTACCAGTATATTCGTTCTTTGTAGTATAAGTTGATTTTGACTTACTCAATACTATAAATTATGAATGGTATCTTTGAAGACAAGATTTTTTTAAAAAAATATAAGGATAATCATAATAAAGTAATTGTCTTGCATGTTGTTCAGAATGTAGTTTCCTTTTAGAAAGCCACTGAAACCTACAAGTGACAATGCATACAAGCAACTACACCTACGACAACGACACCTACGAATACAATATTTACAAGTGACAACTCCTCTATGATGACATCTACAAGCGAAAGTATGATTAGCAGGCTCCAAAAAATACACCCTACACATATATGCATGCGAATTTATATAACATGTAGTGCATTTTATAATTTAATTTGATAATAACCATATGTACTATGTATCAAATAAAAGTATAGCACTTACGTACCCACATTTTTGTGATGATTTTGGTGGCCTAAATCTAATGATTCTGATGGTTTATTATAATTTAAGGGATCTATAAAAAAAGCCTAATTCTACAAATCCGCACATATGTGTAATATTTCATTATAGAATAGCATTTTATTATACAGACTATTATTACAATAATTTATTTTATTATTACAATGATTTATTTTATTTTTACAATGATTTGTAATATTATTGCTTAATTATATAATGATATCTTATAGTATTATAGTATTATAGTATTTTAGAAAAATATTTAAACTCTGCCTTTTTTTCCAAAGCAGAAGAATATTAATATATACTCTACACCTATTTCTTTGATATCTATATTGTTTTTTAGATATATTTGACTCTTTTCTTTTAATTATTTTTTTATAATAAAGCCTTATTTTGTTATAATAAACTATAATTCTATAATATGTTTATAGTAGGTTTATTGTATTTTTTTATTGAATTTTTATAATAAAATTATTGTTTTTATTGAGTTATATTTTTGCTTTATATGAGCTATTCTTTGAGTATTATTATTTAAGTTAGTAAATCTATCTTTAGTCTATAAACTGTTAGTTATAACCTTTCTTTATTGAGATTATATTAGCAATAAATCGACAATATTTTATTTTATTTATAACCTGTTTTCTATTATAAAATTATATAAATATATTTTTTAACTACTTGTATACTTAGTCAAGTATTGTAGCTTGTTAGCTAAAAATCTAACAACACTATATTACAATATAATTAATAGTTAAATAAATATATAATATAAATTAATAGATAATTCACCAGTCATCTGGAGAGCTATATGATGCAGGTTATACAAGATTTATATATAAATTATATATAAAATCTTCAAATAGTAAA